ACAAAAAGGGGCTGGAATTTCGTGGGGAAGGTGTAGGAAAAAATAAGGGGAATGTCTTATTTAATGAAATGAACAAAAGGAGTAGAAAATAACACACAAGGTTTATCTTTTTGATCCTCATTTTCGTCCAAGGTTAAAAAGGAGGGTAAAGACTTTATTTTGATTATCAAATGAAGATAAAAGACTTTTGGATATTTTGGGAAAGGTTGGGATTTTAGTGGAGCCGCCCAGATGGTCACAGGGTTGATTGGCGAACAACACCACCCGGGTTCAATCCCAGAGGATGCATATTTGGAGGAATTTTAAAGAGTTAAGCGTGCTGGCATGGGAGTAGTAAAAATGATGGGTGACCCCCTAGGAAGTAGATTTGGGCTTATGGGGCTGAGCTTTAGATTGGGCTTACTTTGGGCTTTCTATAGTGGGCTATCTACCTCGGGTGTTAACAGGCCCCGGGATAGTCACGAGGTTAACGGGCCTCGGGCCCTCTGCTTGTAACCGACCGTTCATATTTAAAAAAAAAGAAAATAAATAAATAAATAAATATCATAGGTGGTGAGGCATGGTACAAAGTGGGCCATCTTTGAAAACCGGTCCACGACGACCATGATGGAATCTTTGCCTCGTTGTGTCCTCGGCAGCCCGGTGATGAAGTCCAAGCTGATATCTTCCCATGGAGCAAAGGGAACGGGCAAGGGCAAATGCTTTCCTTGGGGCAGCGACTGACTTTTGGCGAGGTGGCACATGTTGCAACGCTTGATGAAGTGCTCCACGTCTCGTTCCATTCTTGGCCAGTGGTAGTGTTCCTTCATCATCATGTGAGTCTTATCGACCCCATAATGACCAGCTAGGCCTCCTCCGTGAACTTCATCAATATGGATTTCCCTAACGCTGCTTTTCGGGATACAAAGTTGGTTGCCTCGGAATAGAAAACCGTCCTTGATTAGGAATTCTCCATGTGGCCGAATAAGGCACTTGGAATAAGTGTCTTTGAAGTCTTCATCCAACACAAAATTGACCTCATTCCGGGGGCTACCCTACCCAACAAACCAGCATACCGAATGAACCCCTAAGAAACGAAGGAAATTTAACGTCAAGTTGATGAGTTGTTAGCTAAGGGCTTCATAAGGGAAAGCCTTAGCCCGTGTGCTGTCCCGGCACTTTTGGTGCCCAAGAAGAATGGAACGTGGCGTATGTGCTGCGATAGTCGGTCTCTCAACAAGATCACTATCAAGTACCAGTATCCGATTCCCTGTTTGGAAGACATGTTGGACGAGCTGCATGGCTCCAAGATCTTTTCAAAAATTGATCTTAGGAGTGGATATCATCAAATTCGAATCTTTGAAGGAGACGAGTGGAAGACAGCGTTCAAGACGAAGTTTGGGTTAAACGAATGGTTGGTTATGCCATTTGGATTAACCAATGCCCCGAGCACGTTCATGCGGCTTATGAATCAAGTCTTGAAGCCGTTTATAGGTCATTTTGTCGTTGTCTACTTTGACGACGTTCTGATTTATAGTAAAAATGAGGAAGAGCATGCTAATCACCTCACTTTGGTGATTAAGAAGTTGGACATGGAGAAACTCTACGGCAACCTCGAGAAGAGCCAATTCTTTGCGTATGAAATAGAGTTCTTGGGATATTTTATCTCAAGTGAAGGCATACGGGTGGACGAAAAGAAGACGCAAGCCATTAGAGAATGGCCGACCCCCACCGCTATGCAACAAGTTCGGAGTTTTCATGGCCTTGCCTCTTTCTACCGGAGATTTGTGAAGGAATTCAGCACTTTCATGGCACCTATCACGGATTTGACGAAAAATCAGAAGTTCGAGTGGAACTCCAAGGCCCAACAGGCCTTTGAAACAATCAAGGAGCGATTAACACATGCCCCCGTGTTAGCCCTTCCTAGTTTTGAAAAACTATTTGAGGTCGAGTGTGATGGCTCGGGAGTTGGAGTCGGGGCTGTCCTGTCCCAAAAAGGGCACCTGGTGTCGTATTTTAGCGAGAAGCTAAACGACACGAGAAGGAGGTATTCCACATACGACAAGGAGTTCTACGCATTGGTGCGGTCACTTGAGCATTGGCGTCATTACCTCGTGAGCAAGGAGTTCATATTACATTCCGATCATGAAGCGTTAAAATACATTCAAGGGCAGCATAAGCTCCGGCCCCGTCATGCTAAATGGGTCGAATACATCCAAACCTTCACCTTCACCATCAAGCACAAAAACGGAACCATGAACAAGGGTGCCGATGCCTTGTCCCGGAGGCACTTATTACTAACGGTACTTAGTACCAAAGTTGTTGGCTTTGAATTTTTGCAGGAGCTTTACAGAGAGGATGAAGACTTCAAGGACACTTATTCCAAGTGCCTTATTCGGCCACATGGAGAATTCCTAATCAAGGATGGTTTTCTCTTCTGAGGCAACCAATTTTGCATCTCGGAATGCAGCGTTCGAGAAACCCTTATTGATGAAGTTCACGGAGGAGGCCTAGCTGGTCATTATGGGGTCGATAAGACTCACATGATGATGAAGGAACACTACCACTGGCCAAGGATGGAACGAGACGTGGAGCACTTCATCAAGCGTTGCAACACGTGCCACCTCGACAAAAGTCAGTCGCTGCCCCAAGGAAAGCATTTGCCCTTACCCGTTCCCCTTGCTCCCTGGGAAGATATCAGCTTGGACTTCATCACCGGGCTGCCAAGGACACAACGAGGCAAAGATTCTATCATGGTCGTCGTGGACCAGTTTTCAAAGATGGCCCACTTTGTACCATGCCTCACCACCTATGATGCTTCCCAAGTTGCTGATCTCTATTTCCGAGAGATAGTCAAACTCCATGGCATTCCCCGAAGCATGGTTTCAGATAGGGACACGAAATTCCTTAGCCATTTTTGGATGACCCTATGGAGAAACCGAAGTCACCAAACCGATGGCCAAACCGAAGTCACCAACCGCACCCTTGGAACACTCTTACGAGCCCTCATCAAGAAGAACATCAAGCAGTGGGAAGAGCTTCTACCGCACGCCGAGTTTGCCTACAACCGAACCCCAAACAAGAGTACTGGGCTCTCCCCATTCACGGTGGTCTATGGTTCAAACCCATTGACCCCACTTGAACTTGATCCGATCATCACAGGGACCAAATACAGTTGGGAAGCGGACAAGCGGTCAAAGGAAATCCAAGACCTTCACGCCAAGGTTCGAGACAAGATTGAGGCTATGAACGAGAAGGTAAGCGCATGCATCAACAAAGGAAGGAAGGACGTACACTTCCAACCAGGAGACCTTGTTTGGATTCACCTTCGGAAAGAGCGTTTCCCCACGAAACGGAAGTCAAAGTTGTTGCCAAGAGCCGATGGCCCGTTTGAAGTCTCAGAGAAAATCAATGACAAGGCCTACAAGATCAACCTTCCGGGAGATTATGGAGTATCGGCTACTTTCAATATCAAAGACCTTAGCCCGTACTTTGAGCTTGAAGAAATGCCGAGTTTGAGGACAAACTCTTTTGAAGACCGGGAGGATGATATACCCCGGGTAACCACCAACGACTCTAAAGTCCTTAAACAAATCAACGGAATAATGGCCAAGTGTTATGATCCTTTTTGGAGTGAATCTATCACCATTAAAAATCATAACCTAACCATAATGTCCTTGGATCCTTCCCCACCATGAGGCCGAACCCCAACCCTGGCTAAAACCACCACACCCTAAATATCCAAACCAACCTTTAAAAACACAACCCAACCCTCCTCTTCTGCCCTCACCTTTGGCCGAAATACCCAAACCCAAAGCCCACACATTACCCCACTTTTTGAACCCACTTTAGATTAATAATCACAATCCCAATAATGGCCTAATCAACCAGCCCCTCTTTCCCCTTGTTATGGCCGAACACAATCACCCAAAAAAACCTGCCCAAACCCATGTCACAGCCCCCACAATTGTTCCCCATTATACTCTCCATTATGTGTAAGGAAACAAGCTGCAAACAAACAAAACATATTGGCCCACCTTGGCAGCAATCCCACTCACCTTAGCATCTCCATAAACTACCTATTGCATCCCTCCAAAATAGCCAGCCCACTCACCCTTTGTACCCCCCTGCCTGGCCGAATCAACCCACCCAAAACCCTCCAAAATAGCAGCCCACTCCACCACAACTTGCCCACAATAATAACCCAACAACAGCCCCACAAACCAGCCCCTATCTCTGATTTCCTTCCCCACCAAAGGACTCAAATAAGTGGTTATTATTCCTTTAATTTGTGTGAATAAGAGACTTGGTAGTCTCCCTTGTTTTNTTTTGCTATATATATTTCGGCCATAGGCCTTTGTAAAACATCAGATTGTATTTCCCATTTCAGTAGTAATACACTTGTGTGTGTTCTATTTTAAATTCCTATTTCTATATCTTAAGAGTGGTTCTCTTAGGTGTGAGTTATAGGTTCTAGTTATTTAAATAAGTGTGTAATATCTTATTTGAATACTAGGTTCAACCCCAAGTAAAGATAAGAGTGTGTAATATCTCTTAACACCTACTTGGTTTATCTCCCTAAAAAAAACAACTAAACTATATACTTCCACCCCTCTACTCTATTTTCGGCCAGCACCCCAAAACCCTTCCCATTCTCATTCTCCCCTTTTTTTTCCTTAACCAAAATCACCCTAAGCTTTCCCCTCTCTTATCCCATACGTCCCAGCCCCGAAAGCACCCACAAAACAGCCTTTTTCCCTCTCCTCCATTAACCCCTTGAAGTTGAGCCTAACAGTTTGAGATCAAACCAGCAATGATCCAAATGGTCTCTAATAACCAATTTGGAGGCTCAAAAGCTGAAGATCCAAGGGCGCACATGCTATGGTTTTCCAGGACCTACCAAACGTTCCAGTCCAACGGTCTATCTATGGATCATGTTAAATTGTCGTTGTTTCCCTTTTCACTTCGGGATCGGGCAGCTAGATGGATAAATACGTTCCCTAACGGACACTTCAAGACCTGGGAAGCGTTGCACCAGGCATTCATGCACGAATATTTTCCACCTTCTGCCATGGTCAAAATAAAAAACTCCATCCAAAATTTCCGCCAGGCGCCTATGGAATCAATGAGCGAAGCATGGGAAATATTCAAAGAATTGAAGGTTAAATGCCCACCTGCTTTAATTGATTCCGATAGCTTGATGTTCTACTTTTACCAAGGCCTGACAGTACCATCTAAGAAAGAATTGGACCACTCTTCTAAACTTGGTTCTTTTCTGGAGATGACACCCGAGGAGAACGAGGAGTTAGTAGATAGACTTACGTCGAATGCTAAATATTGGTATGAAGACCGAGCTCGTCCTCCTAAAGCCGGCATGTACGAAGTAGACCATTTCACAGCCCTCAAGGCTAGTATGGAGAGCATCGTGAAACAAACTATCAAGGAGCACCTAGGAGCTTCACATCCACGTCCCAATCCGTACACTGAACCGGTGAACCAAGCTAAACTCTATGGTTCTGGTAGTCACCACCAATCCGATCTTGTCTTATCTTGTGAACACTGCTTTCAAAATCATCTTTCCTCCGCTTGTCCGTTGATTGAACCACCCCCTTCGAACAAGGCTAAGGATGTTAATCTAGCACAATATGCGAATAAAGGGGAAGGGCCTTGGGCCCAGAGCAATCAGGAGCACTGGCGGGAAAGAAACAATTTTCAAAGAAACAATCGTCCTAGGGATGACTATAAACAAGGTAACTGGAATAACAAAACCAATTACCAAAATAACAGTACATCCTACGTTCCACCTCATAATTGCCAACCTCCGCAAGAAGATTCCTTGGCAAGGATGGAAAAGATGATGATGGAGTACATGCAGAAGATGAACAATCTAGCAGATGATCTGAAGGAACGTGACAAGACACGTGATAACCAACTCCAACAAGTGTTTAAACAACTTGGAGTTAGAGAACAGGGGAACCTCCCAGCTACCATTGAACAAAACCCATGGGAGCAACTTCGGGCAATAACTTTGAGAAGTGGTAAAGAGCTTCAAGGCCCAGAAGTCGAAGCCAATATAGATGAAGTACCCGTGGATACCTCTATAGGAACAACCCCTCAAAAGAAGTCTGAATCCACACCCCAAGGGGCGAGAAAGGAAGAAACCTCCTCTAGCCAACCCCTACCAACCAGGCAGACTCAGCTAAACACTATCCCCTACCCTACTAGGGTGAAAAAGAACAAGGACGAGAAGGCTTTCCAAAAGTTTCTCGATGTCATTGGCCAAGTTGAGGTCAAAATGCCCTTAGTGGATGTGTTGACTGAGATGCCCAAATATGGTAAATTCTTAAAAGACCTCGTAACTAAAAAGAGGGATTGAGAGGAATTCCCAGTTGTCAACTTAAATGCTGAATGCTCGGCTATGTTACTTGAGGAAATGCCTAGGAAACGAAAGGATCCTAGATGTTTCATCATCCCTTGCTCCATCAACGATAGAACTTTTGGAGACGCTCTAGCTGACCTAGGAGCTAGCATTAATTTAATGTCGTCCTCTATCATGAAAGCATTGGGATTGACTGGACTTAAACCTACTCAAATGTGTCTTCAATTAGCAGATAGCTCTATTCGTTACCCCAGGGGGGTGATTGAAGACGTACTTGTGAAGGTAAATAAGTTCATCTTTCCTGCTGATTTTGTGGTATTGGATATGGAAGAAGATAAGGAAAAGCCGCTATTACTAGGGCGACCATTCCTTGCGACCGCATGATGTACCCAAGCTTAGGAAAAGTTATGAATAAATAAGGGAAGATTATAGAGAGGAATATATGGTGAAGAATAGGTTGGATTTGTGTATGAAATGGTGAAGAAAATATGGTTGTTTGGAAGAGGTGATAGGGCAGAATAAACGGCAGGAGAAAAGCAATATTATGGAGTGGTTTTTGATGAAGAAATGAAGTGTTTAAGTGGGAGAAAGGAGATGGACGAAATTAGGAAAGAAAAGGGAGTTCTTTTGTGGTTTTTATTGTAGAAGGATAAACCAAATAATAAATAAGAGATAAACACACTCTTATTTTATTTGGGGCTGTTTCTTTTCACACAATAATATTCACTATTATTATATGAAATAGACTCCTAACACACACTCAAAAGTAGCCAACTTCAGAGATATTTAATTAGGAAATTGAGAGAATTAGCTTCACACCAACTCAAATATTACTTCAAAGAGAAAGGAAATGAAATACAATGAATGAATTTTACAAGGCCATAGGGCCGAAATATATAGGGAAAAACAGCAAGGAAACTTCACCACTCTTTCCTACAATTCAAGTGCATAATGCCCATTTGATGGATCCCATAGGTTGTCCTCATTGATCAAGGCTAAAAGGGTTCATGGTGGTGAAAATGGGCTGTCTTTGGGTGGGAAATTCGGCCATGTGAAGGGTAGGGTGAGGGAGTGTGTCCTTTTGTCCATTTATGCAAAATAAGTAATGTGACACATCAAGGGATTGATTGTTTATTCTTTTGGCCTTATTATAGGTGTGAGAAATGATTTGGGGGGATGTTTGGGGGGAGGAATTCGGCCATGGGACAAAGGGATGTGTGGGGGGATGGTTTTGAATGATTTTCACACCAAGACAAAAGACATGTTTAATCTTTGTCTCCTGATTTGGTCTTTTGTGTTTTATAATGCATTGGGATGGATGGGGATGGGTTCTAAGGCCAAAAGGGGATGTATTTTCGTGGGTTTGTAGTAGGAAAAGGTGGGGGAAGGTTTTATTCAAAGTAGGGAATATTAGGAAAGAAAACAACACACACAAAGCAATTGTGTTTGTCCTTGTCTCTTGGATTTTCGGCCATGGCTTCAAAGGGAGGTGGACTTTATTTTGGTTAATAAAGGCAAATGAAATACTTTTGGATATGTGGGAGTGTGTTGGGCTTGTAGGCATTTCGGCCTAGGTTGGGTTTTGGGAGAGAAGTGTCATGGTTCGGGTTTTAATGTGGGACGGGTCAATGAGTTCAACCCAAAATGGATCATAACACCTAGACATTAAACACTTGACTTGTTGTAATACTAGTGGCGTGTGTGAAGGTGCATCCCGGGGTATATCACCGCAAAGGCATTAATTAATGTGCACGACGGAGAACTGACTTTAAGAGTAGGCAATGAAGATGTCACTTTTAAAATGATGAGCGTCATGAATCGAACTCCAGACCCAGCTGAGTTCTGCAACTCAGTTAAAGTCATAAAAGATAAAGGGACTGTTGAGGATCTCCTAAGCCTAGAAATCGCTTTCCAAGAACCTAAGTGTGAGGAGGTGTGTGAAATCAAAATCACTATTTTTGTGCAATAATGCTTAAAATATGTAGAATAAAATAAGAACAAAATGAACTTATCAAATTCTTGCTCATAAAAGAAAAGAAATAAAAGTTTTCAAAAGAAAATAATATGAAGATCACGAAGGGGGAGGAACTGAGGCGGATGGATCATCGCCCTCAGGAGAACGAGGGGTGAGCCCAATGTGCACATCCGAGTAAAAGCCAGTAAAGGTCCTCCGAAGCTGAGCAAAGCTCTCAGCCTGGGATGCCTGCTGCTGTCCGATTTCGGACATCCTCTGCATGATGGTATCCTGCTGCTCCAGGATCCTCCTAGCCCATTCAGGGGTCGGATCCGCCTGGGTCGTAGCTGGAGTGGCCTGAGGAGTGGGACGGCAACGAGTGGCTCTCCTAGACGAGACCTGCGAAGATGCTCCTGAGGTCGAGGGCGCAGATGAGGAAGCGGCGTTGCTCTCGGTAGAGCCAGCTCCCAACCTCCTACAGATGTGGGCATTCCTCAGCATGCCGGCATCCAAATCTCGCATCATCATCTGGGCCCGCGGAATGGGCGCCGATCCTTCGAGTGATCGGAAGAGTATGGTGACCACGAAACCACAGACAATGTGCGTCCGATTCCCCATGGACTGACTGTAGAGGAATCAGGCCACAAAGACAGCCACATTCGCCTCCCGGCGTGTGTGCAGGCTCCAGAAGACAATCATATCATCGGGGTATACCCGATCCGTTCAAAAATTTTTAAGTTTTTAGAGAAAACTATAATAGTTGGAAGCATGTTTCAAAAAAAAAACTTATTAGAATTCAAAATAATTACTTCTTAATCTTTTAGCACTCTAAGTGTTTGTATTTTGGCATTAAATGGAAATTAATATTGTAACAAATATGTTTGAGCTTCTTAAAAAATGATTTTGCTACTCCAAAATTTAAAACATATCTTTTAAATCAAATCTATTAAGAACTTATTTTTATTTAATCTCTTACCTTTTATTTAGTTAAGTTCAATGTGCCTAATTTATTTAGAAGTATATGGAGCAGTTTTCTAACTCTTTTTCGTCCTAAGTTTCTATTCAAGTTAAGTTAGTCTTAAGAAAATCTTTTTTCTTCTCTAAACTTTGGTTAATTACATATTATCAAGATGTTGAAATGAATATAATATATATATACTAGAACACCATCTTAGGTTGGAATGGGTGGCACGGCACCTTTGACCCCTTAAGCAACGAATCCCAAAAGGAAGTGATGTTGTGTATGGAGAAAACCTAAGTTGGAAGAGCAAACCCCGTTTTGGGCCGTAAGAATCTCGTCCATAACCAGTTTAAAATAATAAGAAAAAAAACCGACGCGATTGAGCCAAAAAAAGAAAAAAAGTGCAATAAATGGCTAGGTAAAAAAAAGTAAAATAAAAGAAAATAAATGAATAAAACATTGTTTGAGCACTCGAGTTGAAACCCTCGGAATACTTCGTTTATTTAGGTCCTGGGCTATCTGGAATGGGCCTGGGGTAGCCTGGTTGAGACTCGCTACACGGGTCAACTCAAACAATGAAAAAATTAAATACTAAATAAAAGCAATAAATCGAAGTTTCCAGATTTTAGAAAAGGAAATAAATTTTCTTGAGCATTTCTTAACTTGAATAAAAGTAATTTCTACTTAGCTTTGAAGTGAAAGAATTGTTTAAAATTTAAAGTAGCAAATTGATTTTTAAAGAGTTCATTCTGTTTGGTATATGATTAATTTCTGATTAATGTTCAAATACATCACTTTATGTTGTTATAAGATAGAGAAGTTATTTTGAGTTCTAGTGTTAAAAAAAGGAGTTTTGATTTTTGGTAATTACTTTGCCCGAGGACGTACAAAGGACAAAGTGTGGGGGTATTTGATACGTTACAAATTGTCACATTTTATTTGGTCATACTTTCGTTCTTTATTATATTTTTAATGCATTTTATGTGAAAATAAAGTGTATAATGAAATATTTGGCTCTTTAGGCTACTTGTTATATTTTTACACTAAAATCATAAGTTGAGTAAAGTTTTTATTATATTTCGTGTTGAAATTAATTTCTCTTATTTGTATTTTCAGATATACTTTTTGGAATAAAAAAAAGATGTTAAATTCAAGAGATGGAGAATTGGGCCAAGCTTTAATGGATTGAAGATTTAATGTCCAAGTGCAAGTCAAGATCCAATTGCTATACAAATCCTATCTCAATTCTCAACCCAACAAAATAAAAACATAAAGAAACAAAAAAAGGGGATATAAAAGGAGGAGGAGGGCTGCTGAAACGAGGGGAGAGAAAAAACGGAAAAAAGAGCAGAAGACCTTGAGCAGCGGCGACTTTGTTCGGCGGCTTCGACCGGCGGCGTCGACGGCATCCTGGAGCAGCGACTCAACAGCCTGCGGTTCTCCTCTTCCTCCAATTTCAGAGTTTAATTCTTCCCTTCTTCTTTAATTATGTCAATTTTTGCTATCAATTGTGTTGAATTTTACATTATGTTTGGCTAAACTCCATAGCTAGGGCAAAGATGAAGCTTATATATTCTATTTGATTTTTATTCATGATTTATTTTTCCATATTGATCTTAAATGTTTATTGTCTATTTTTCCAATTGATTGTTAGGGTTAATTTTTAGATGAGTTCAATCATGTTTTTCTCATGGTTTGAATAATCTTGATAATTGTTTGACAAGTTAAAAGAGCGGATATTAGTTGTGATTTCTTGATGAGATACAATTAATGATTTAAATTTCTCTTGAAACTTTGAAAATAGCAAACTATAGAAATCGTTTTTTTAGAGCTTAATTGATATATCCTCCATGATAACGAGACTTGGTTGCGAGATTATCATGCGTATTAAGTTTGGAAAAAAATAATGATTGAATAAAAAAAGTACATTTGAATATATAAGTGGATTCCAAGTCCTAGTTCTTTCTCATATTTGAAAACTTATTTTTAATCTCTTTATTTTTTTTAGTAGTTAGAAAAATATTTAGTTTTTGTTTAATTATTTAATATTTCTTTAAAATTATTCATTTTCACATTTAGTTGTTTTTAAATATTAACTTTTGTCCAATTAGATTAGAAATATTCAATTGAATCTAGAATAAAATTCTTCACATATTCAAGTCCCTGTGGTGTTATATCTAAGCTCAGGGTTTTATAGTTACAACCTCTTTATTTGAAGGGAGGTGGTGATAATCGATTGTCCTAAATGGATAATCGATTATGGACGGCTGCAGGTTCTGGGTAGTTTTTCTGGGAATTTTCTGAGAAGGATAATAATCGATTGATGGAAGAGTGGAAATCGATTATTGAGAAGTGCAGGGTTCTGGGAAAGGCTGGTAATCGATTATCTGAAAGTGATAATCGACTATTGAAGGCTGCAGATGTTTCACGAGGGATAGATAATCGATTTCTTGTAGCGATAATCGATTATTTGACAGCTCGAGACAAGAAAAGAAGTATTTCTTTGGGAAAAGCCAAGTTGGTGTTAAGAGATATTACACACTCTTATCTTAACTTGGGGTTGAGTCTAGCATTCAAATAAGATATCACACACTTATTTAAATAACTAGAACCTAAAACTCACACTCAAGAGAACCACTCTCAAGATATAGGATTAGGAATTTGGAATGAAACACACAAGTGAATCACTTTGATTAAAAATGGAAAATACAATGTGTTTCTACACCCAGGCCTATTGCTGAATATATAGGATTACATTGGAGGGAATAATGGAAAATACAACTCACTCAAAATAATGCCCATGTGCTTATGTTTCTTGAGTGGAATGAAATCAGGGATATGGGT